CCTAAGAGACCAAAACTACATTGGGGCACCCCTAACCCTGCCCTAAGAGACCAAACATACATTGGGGCACCCCTAACCCTGTCCTAAGAGACCAAACATACATTGGGGCACCCCTAACCCCGTCCTAAGAGACCAAACAGACATTGGGGCACCCCTAACCCTGCCCTAAGAGACCAAATAGACATTGGGGCACCCCTAACCCTGTCCTAAGAGACCAAACACACACTGGGGCACCCCTAACCCTGTCCTAAGAGACCAAACATACATTGGGGCACCCCTAACCCTGCCCTAAGAGACCAAATAGACATTGGGGCACCCCTAACCCTGTCCTAAGAGACCAAACACACATTGGGGCACCCCTAACCCTGTCCTAAGAGACCAAATAGACATTGAGGCACCCCTAACCCTGCCCTAAGAGACCAAAAATACACTGGGGCACCCCTAACCCTGTCCTAAGAGACCAAGCACACACTGGGGCACCCCTAACCCTGTCCTAAGAGACCAAACAGACATTGGGGCACCCCTAACCCTGTCCTAAGAGACCAAACACACACTGGGAGACCCCTAACCCTCCCTATAGCCCCAAATAAGCATGGAGGGAGCCCAAAGCCCTGTCTGAGGGCCTAAAGAGACATGAAGGGACCCTAACCCCTTCCTCCAGAGAAACACCCCTGCATCCCCCCCGAAAGCCCAAACACACACGGTGAAGCCTCTAAAGCCCCCTGAGATACCCTTCACCCCACGCTACAGGCCCAAAATGACACCGGGAACCCCTCTAAACCCACCCTCAGAGATGGAACACACACTACAAGACCCTAACTCCCTCTCCGAGGGTCACCTAAACGACTCCTCACAGCCCAAACACCCACGCGGGGACCCCTAAAGGCCATCCCCGGTGTCCCGCTCGCTGCCGGGGGTGCCCGGAGCCCCTCTCACCCTCACGCGCAGCCTCAGCCCGCGGCGGCGCCTCCTCCGCGACTGCCGCGCCCGCGCGCCGCTCTCGCCTTTTATACCGGCCGGGTGGGGAAGGCGGGCGGCGGCGCGCTCGCTGATTGGCTGGCGCGCTGCCTCCCTCACGGGCCGCTCCCGGAAGCGCTGAGGGCGCTGGCGGCGGTTCCGGCCGGGCGAGGAAGGGGCGGGAGGGGAAGGAGGAAGGGAAGGAAGGAAAGGAAAGGAAGGAGGGGAGGAAGGAGGAGCTGAGGCGGCCGCGCACGGACCGGCGGGACCCGCCACAGGAGGTAACGGGGGAACCGCGCTGCTGGGTGGGTAAGGGAGGGAGGTTGGGGCCCCTCGGTATTTCCGCCTGAGGGGAAACGCTGCGTGGTAACGGCGGTGAAACGGGGGTTGATTGATTCATTAATTTAATTAAGGGTTAATGAGCGGCTCGCGGTGAGGCGCGGGGAGGGTTTAATTCTTACGAGCCCGTTCCGAAGGGAGAGGAGGGGCCGGGAGGGCTCGGACGGGGCAATGAGACCCGCCCTGCCCGCGGGGAACCGGCCCCGGGAACGGGAACAGACCGGGAAAGGCACCGGGGAGGCAAACATCAGCCTGGGAGTGAGCGGGGAATTAAAAAGTGACAGAGGGGAGGTCTTGAAATGAGGAACGGGACGTAAAATGTGAGGGAGGGACACAAAAATGACCCTGAAAGTGAGGGAGGGACACAAAAAATTATAGAGAGGAGACACTGAAAGTGAGGGGGAGACATAAAAATGATTCTGAAAGTGAGGGAGAGACACAAAAAGTGAGGGAGGGACACCAAAAATGACCCTGAAAGTGAGGGAGGGATACAAAAAGCGAGGGAGGGATACAAAAAGTGAGGGAGGGATATCAAAAATGACCCTGAAAGTGAGGGAGGGACACAAAAAGTGAGGGAGGGACGCCAAAAATGACCCTGAAAGTGAGGGAGGGACACAAAAAATTATAGAGAGGAGACGCTGAAAGTGAGGGGGAGACATAAAAATGATTCTGAAAGTGAGGGAGAGACACAAAAAGTGAGAGAGGGACACCAAAAATGACCCTGAAAGTGAGGGAGAGACACAAAAAGTGAGGGAGGGACAAAAAATTATAGAGAGGAGACGCTGAAAGTGAGGGGGACACACAAAAATGACCCTGAAAATGAGGGAGGGACACAAAAAGTGAGGGAGGGACATCAAAAATAACCCTGAAAGAGAGGGAGGGATACAAAAAATTATAGAGAGGAGACGCTGAAACTGAGGGGGAGACATAAAAATGATTCTGAAAGTGAGGGAGAGACACAAAAAGTGAGGGAGGAGACACCAAAAGTGAGGGAGGGACACAAAAATGACCCTGAAAGTGAGGGGGAGATACAAGAAACGGGGAAGAGATGCTAAAAGTGACGGGGGGAACCCTGAAAGTGAGGGAGGGAAACATAAAGTGAGGGAGTGACACCAAAAATTACCCTAAAGGGAGGGAGGGACACCAAGAATGACAGAGGGGAGACCCTGAGAGTGAGGGAGGGGACACAAGAAACGGGGGAGAGATGCTAAAAGTGATGGGGGGAACCCTGAAAGTGAGGGAGGGAAACAAAAAGTCAGGGGAGGGACAGCAAAAGTGCCCCTAAAAGTGAGGCAGGGACACAAAAAGCAACAGGGGGAGACCCCTGAAAGCAAAGCAGGGCCACAAAAAGCAAGGGAGGGCCACCAAAAGTGCCCCTAAAAGTGAGGCAGGGCCCCAGAAAGCGAGGAAGGGGCATCAGAAATGCCCCAAAAAGTGAGGCAGGGACACAAAAAGTTGTGGGGGGAGACCAAAAGTGACCCAAAAGTGAGGCAGGGCCAAAAAATTGAGGGAGAGCCACCAAAAGTGACCCTAAAAGTGAGGCAGGGACACAAAAAATGAGGGAGGGCCACCAAAAATTCCCCAAAACTCAAGGCAGGGACACAAGAAGCGAGGCAGTGGCACCAAAAGTGACCCAAAAAGTGATGGGGGGAGACCAAAAGTGACCTAAAAGTGAGGCAGGGACACCAAAAGTGCCCCAAAAAGCGAGGGAGGGCCACCAGAAGTGCCCCTAACAGCGAGGCAGGGACACAAAAACTGATGGGGGGAGACCGAAACGACCCTAAAAGTGAGGCAGGGCCACAATATTGAGGGAGGGGCACCAAAAGTGCCCCTAAAAGCGAGACAGGGACACAAAAAGTGATGGGAAGAGACCAAAAGTGCCCCTAAAAGCGAGGCAGGGACACAAAAAGTGATGGGAAGAGACCAAAAGTGACCTGAAAGTGAGGCAAGGACATAAAATTGAGAGAGGGCCACCAAAAATGCTCCAAAAATTGAAGGAGGGCACTAAAAATGCCTGAAAAAATGAGGCAGGGACACAAAAAGTGAGGGGAAGAGACCAAAAGTGACCCTAAAAGTGAGGCAGGGACACAAAAAGTGAGGGGAAGAGACCAAAAGTGACCCTAAAAGCGAGGCAGGGACACAAAAAGCAACAGGGTGAGACCCCTGAAAGCAAAGCAGAGCCACAAAAAGCGAGGGAGGGCCACCAAAAATGACCCTAAAAGTGAGTCAGGGACACCAAAAGTGCCCCAAAAATCAAGGCAGGGCCACAGGGAGCAGGCAGGGCCCCGCTGAGGCCGCTCCGGGGCTGAAATTTGAATTTGGGGCCAGCCCAGCCAACCCTCAGTGCCCAAAATGGGCCCAAAATCCCGATTTTGGCCCTGCCCTGCCCTGCCCTGCCCGGCATTCCTGAGCCGTGCTTGCTCCGCTCCTTCTGCAACTTTTTGGGGAAAAGTCAGCCGGAAAAAAAAAAAAAATAAAAAAAAGCAGCTTTAGGGAATTTCTTATTTATAATTTTTATTATTACTTTTTATTATTTAATTATGTGTTTTTTATTTATAATTTTTATTATTTCGTTTTATTTATTTCTAAGAAGTGGCAGGAGTTTAGCCACAGAGTGAGAGCACAGAAAATTTTAAAGATAGCCCCTCATGACAAATCCCTGCCTAGCACAGGCATATATACATGTTTTTAATTTATTTATTTTATTTCTATTTATTTATATATTTAATTTTTTTTTTTTCCCCTATGAAGTGTCAGGCATTTAGCCAAGGACTGAGGGCACGGAAGAATTTAGGGATAACCCCACATGACATAATCCCTGCCCAGCACAGGCATATATATATATATATGTATATATTTTTTTTTCTATTTATTTATATCATTTTTGTTCTTTATTTAATTTTTTTTCCTATGAAGTGTCAGGGGTTTAGCCAAGGAGTGAGGGCATGGAAGAATTTAGGGATAGCCCCACATGACAAATCCCTACCTGGCACGATTATATATATGCATATATATATATATATATGTGTATATATATAATCAATGTATTTGGTTTTATTTATTTCTATTTTTTAAATTTTTATTAATTTTATTAGTTCTTTATTTCTTTATTTATTTCTGTGAAGTGTTGGGGCTTAGCCACAGAGTGAGAGCACAGAAGAATTTAGGGATTGCCCCACATAACAAATCCCTGCTTGGCATGGGTATATGTATATTTTTTAATTTATTTATTTTATTTATATATATATGGGGTTTTTTGGAGTTTTTTCCCTGTGGAATGGCAGGGATTTAGCCACAGAGTGAGAGCACAGAATTTAGGGATAGCCCCACATGACAAATCTCTGCCTGGCGTGAAGATATATATATATATATATATATATATATATGTATATATATAATCAATTTATTTGGCTTTATTTATTTATTTCTATTTATTTTAAATTTTATTTCTCTTTATTAGTTATTTATTTCTTTATTTATTTCTATGAAGTGTTGGGGTTTAGCCACAGAGTGCGAGCACAGAAAAATTTAGGGATTGCCCCACACGACAAATCCCTGCTTGGCATGGGTATATGTATATTTTTAAAATGTATTTCTTTATTTTTATTTGTTTTTGTTTTTTTTTTTTTTTTTTTCTGTGAAGTGGCAGTGGTTTAGTCATGGAGTGAGAGCACAGAAGAATTTAGGGATAGCCCCACATGACAAATCCCTACCTGGCATGGGTATATATATATATATTAATTAACTTTATTTATATATATATATATATATATATATATATATACACATATTTTTTTTTCCTTTAATATAAATTCATCCAGGCTTCTCCTGTGCCTGCACAGAGCCGTGCGCTGAGCGCACAATGAAACCCTGTGCGAACAGCCCAGCACGGCACGGAACGTTCTGGCACAGGGCTGTGAACAATCTGCCCGGCCGATTGTTTCACCCGCAGCCCGGGGCTGCAAACAATCCCTGAGCCGACTGTTTCAGGCTGTGAATAACCCCTGAGCCGATTGTTCCAGGCTGTGAATAACCCCCGAGCCGATTGTTTCAGGCTGTGAACAGCCCCCGAGCCGATTGTTTCAGGCTGTGAACAGCCCCCAAGCCGATTGTTTCAGGCTGTGAACAACCCCCGAGCCGATTGTTTCACCCACAGCCCAGTGCTACGAACAACCTGCTGAGCTGATTGTTTCACCTGCAGCCCGGGGCTGTGAACAATCCTCAAGCCGATTGTTTCACCTGGAGCTGGGGCTGTGAACAATCCTTGAGCCAATTGTTTCACCCGGAGCTGGGGCTGTGAACAATCCTCAAGCCGATTGTTTCACCCGGAGCTGGGGCTGTGAACAATCCGCCCAGGGCTGTGAACAATCTGCCCGGCTGACTGTTTCACCCACAGCCCGGGCTGTGAACAATCCACCTGGGGCTGTGAACAATCCTTGAGCCAATTGTTTCACCCGCAGCCCGGGGCTGTGAACAACCCACCCAGCCGATTGTTTCACCCACAGCCCAGTGCTACGAACAACCTGCTGAGCTGATTGTTTCACCCGCAGCCCAGGGCTGTGAACAATCCTCAAGCTGATTGTTTCACCTGGAGCTGGGGCTGTGAACAATCCTTGAGCCAATTGTTTCACCCGCAGCCCGGGGCTGTGAACAATCCTCAAGCCAATTGTTTCACCCGGAGCTGGGGCTGTGAACAATCCACCTGGGGCTGTGAACAATCCTTGAGCCAATTGTTTCACCCGCAACCCAGGGCTGTGAACAGCCCACCGAGCCGATTGTTTCACTGGTAGCCCGGGGCTGTGAGCAATCTGCCCGGGGCTGTGAACAACCCTCCCAGCCGATTGTTTCAGGTTGTGAACAACCCACCCAGCCGATTGTTTCACCCGCAGCCCGGGCTGTGAACAATCCACCCGGGGCTGTGAACAACCCACCAAGCCGATTGTTTCAGGCTGTGAACAACCCCCAAGCCGATTGTTTCAGGCTGTGAACAACCCACCCAGCCGATTGTTTCACCGGTAGCCCTGGGCTGTGAACAATCCACCCGGGGCTGCCCGGCTGACTGTTTCACCCACAGCCCGGGCTGTGAACAACCCCCAAGCTGATTGTTTCACCCGCAGCCCGGGCTGTGAACAATCCACCTGGGGCTGTGAACAATCCGCCCGGCTGACTGTTTCACCCGCAGCCCGGGCTGTGAACAATCCTCAAGCTGATTGCTTCACCCGGAGCTGGGGCTGTGAACAATCCGCCTGGGGCTGTGAACAACCCACCTGGGGCTGTGAACAATCCTTGAGCCGATTGTTTCACCCGCAGCCCGGGCTGTGAACAATCCACCTGGGGCTGTGAACAACCCACCGAGCCGACTGTTTCAGGCTGTGAACAATCCCAGAGCCGATTGTTTCACCCACAACCCGGGGCTGTGAACAATCCAGGAGCCGATTGTTTCACGCTCCCCTGCACAGGAAAACCCCCGGCTCCGCTCCGCTCCGCACATCCCCTCCCTTCCTGGGGAAGAGATGAGTGCCGCGCCGGGCGCTCAGCCTCGGCTCCGTTTGTCTCCCCGGCAGATCCTGCGCGGCTCCCGCCGGGGCCGCCAGCCATGCGCACAGCAGGATGAAGCTGCAGGCGGTGGTGGAGCAGCTGCAGAAGCAGCAGCAGCAGCAGCAGCAGCAGCAGCAGCAGCAGCAGCAGCCGGCGGTGCCCATGGATTGCCGGGAGCGCCGCCGGGAGCCGCAGGTGCCGTTCCCGACACCGCCGCCCTTCCCCAGCCAGCCCCGTGCCGGGCGCGCCCCGGGCATGGCACCCGCTGTGCCCGTGGGGATGTCACCCACCGTCCCTGTGGGGATGTCACCCGCCGTCCCCACGGGCAGAGCCCCCGCCGCGGCCGGCCGGCCCTTGGAGCAGAGCAGCGGGAACTCTGAGGACGAGGAGGAGGAGGAGGAGGAGGAGGATGAAGAGGAGGATGAAGAAGACGGCGCTGAGCTGGAGGTGCCCGGCCAGGAGAGCTGCTCTGCCCTGGCCTATTTCCGCGCTCCCAAAGGTGGCCACGGCAAGCAGAGAGCGGGGTCCGGCTCCAGCCCCGTGCCAGCCCCCTGCCAGCCGCGGGGAGCCCAGCAGGGCAAGGAGGAGCAGGGCAAAGACTCGGCCAAGCAGCCCGGAGCCTCGGCGGGGCGCCCCGGCTGGCGCCTGGATGAGCAGCTCAAACAGGTCAGTGCTCCCAAAAACTCCCATTTTCCCTTTCTCAGGATGCAACGCCCCCCTGGTGTGTGAATTAACCACAAGGAATTGGCTTTGTGGAGTTCCCTGCTCTGTGAGAAACTTTGTGGGGTGGGATTTGGGGAAAAAGCTGGTGGTTTGTTGGTTTTAGGGGCAGGCAGCTCCCTGCTAATGCCTCAGCAGAGTTACCTCAGGGATCTTGGAATTGTGGATTTTGGAGTGCAGGGAGATGTGACCTGGTCATGGGAGTCAGAGCACTTTAAATTCCCTGTGTGGGAAAGGAAAAAGGAAAGGAAAAAGGAAAGAGGAAAGGAAAGGAAAGGAAAGGAAAGGAAAGGAAAGGAAAGGAAAGGAAAGGAAAGGAAAGGAAAGGAAAGGAAAAGGAAAGGAAGAAAAGGAAAGGAAAAGGAAAGGAAAGGAAAGGAAAGGAAAGGAAAGGAAAGGAAAAGGAAAGGAAAAGAAAAAAGAAAGGAAAGGAAAAAGGAAAGGAAAGAAAAAAGGAAAGGAAAGGAAAAAGGAAAGGAAAGGAAAAAGGAAAGGAAAGGAAAAAGGAAAGGAAAGGAAAAAGGAAAGGAAAGGAAAAAGGAAAGGAAAGGAAAGAGGAAAGGGAAGGAAAGAGGAAAGGAAAGGAAAAAGGAAAGGAAAGGAAAAAGGAAAGGAAAAAGGAAAAGGAAAGAGGAAAAAAGGAAAGGAAAGGAAAAGGAAAGGAAAGGAAAGGAAAAAGGAAAAGGAAAAGGAAAAAGGAAAGGAAAGGAAAAAGGAAAGGAAAGGAAAAGGAAGGAAAGGAAAAAGGAAAGGAAGGAAAAAGGAAAGGAAAGGAAAAGGAAAGGAAAGGAAAAGGAAAGGAAAGGAAAAGGAAAGGAAAGGAAAAGGAAAGGAAAGGAAAAGGAAAGGAAAGGAAGGAAAGGAAAGGAAAAAGGAAAGGAAAGGAAAAAGGAAAGGAAAGGAAAAAGAAAAGGAAAAGGAAAAAGGAAAGGAAAGAAAAAAGGGAAAGAAAGAAAAAAGAAAAAGAAAGGAAAAAAGAAAAGAAAGGAAAGGAAAAAGGAAAGGAAAGGAAAAAGGGAAAGAAAGGAAAGGAAAGGAAAGGAAAGGAAAGGAAAGGAAAGGAAGGAAGGAAAGGAAAGGAAAGGAAAAGGAAAGGAAAGGAAAGGAAAGGAAGGAAAGGAAAGGAAAGGAAAGGAAAGGAAAGGATGGAAAAAATGGAAAAAGGAAAGGAAAGGAAAAAAAGAGGAAATGAAAGGGAAAAAAAAGGAGAAAGGGAAAAGGAAAGAAGGGAAAAAGGAAGGGAAAAAGGAAAGGGGAAAGGAAAAAGGAAAATAAAGGGGAAAAGGCAAAGGAAAAGGAAAGGAGAGAGAAAAGGAGAACAAAGTTAGGAGCCAGCTCGCTGCTGCCTTGTGGGAGGTGAATTCCAGGTTTGACTGAAGAATTACTGCTCCTTGCATCCCAGTGCCAGGGGATGGTGGAATTGTTGCCTTTGTTGCCAGGGGATTTCAGGGACTCTGGGTCTGTCCCTGCAGACCCTGGGGTGTTCCCAGCCCCAGCTCCTCAGGGAGCAGCCCTGGGGCTGTAAAACCCCCAGGGGAAAGCTCTTGCTGCTGGTTTTTCTCTGAGGGGCTGGCCCAGGAGAGGGAGTAGCTCAAATGAGGTGGGTTTGTCACTCAGGGGCCATTGCCTCAGAATTTACTGGATGGGAGTGGTACAACTTCCTTTTGCAGGGCTCTGGCTGGGGAAAAGGAGGCAGGGCTCAGGTTTTATGGGATCTTTTTTTTAAAAAAGCCAAATAAGCTCAGCCTAGTTGAGCTGGTTTTGTTCCTTGCCCAGCTGGTGCTTCTCCCTCCTGTTGGGAGAGCCCTGCAGATCTCACTGGTCATGAAACCAGGCAGGGTTTGCGTGGAAGAGGGAAAAAAAGTGGAATAAAACATCATTCCACATTTGGCACGATGTGCTTTGGCCCATTCCTGAAATTCGGGAGATCACTTCAATCCAGGAGCCCAAAGTACCCAAAACTCCAGCAGGAAAAACTCCAATAAAACCACTTTTGCTGCTGTGGGATCTGCTGAAGCAGGAAAAATGCCAATAAAACCACTTTTGCTGCTGGGAAGAGCAGGAGTGGGAGGAATCCATGGACACCAGGTTCAGGAGTGAGTTATAAAGGAATAGCAGGGGCAGCTCTGGAGAACAGTGGGAAAACATGGCAGGAAAAGGGCAGGTCCCCCTGTTGTCTCAAAATTTTTGGAGGTGGAGTGGGTTGGATCCATGGTTGGGGTTCAAATGGAGCTGCTGATTCCCAGTTCAGAGCTGGGGAATAAAAGCAGGAGCAGGAGAGGGAGAGAATTGTGTGGGGAGCTCTGGGCTGGCCACTTCATCCCTTGGAATCTTTAATATCCAGGAATTTTTTAAAGGGATGAGCTCTTCCTTTTGATATCCTGGAATTTTTTAAAGGAAGGAGTTCTTTCCTTTGCTTTTTCTCTTTAATGGGAAGAAAATCCAGGATGAAACAATTCTCCAGTTTGTTTCCAAAATTATTCCTGGATTAGTATTTTCATTTTTAGCTTCTCTTCCCAGTCCTGTGCCCTGCTCCTGGACCATTCCTGGGATGCAAAATGCTCTTGGAAATGGGGGGGAAAGTCACTTCATTCCTTCTCTCAAGGCTTGCTTGTTCTTCTGGAAGCTTTGGGGAAAAGAATCCCTTGGAGTTGTGAGGCTGGGATTGCCCAGAGAAATCTGGGATCCACCAGGAAAACGAAGCCACTTCTGTCCCATCCCAGGAAATCATTTTAGGACAAAGATCATGGGAATGAGCTGAATTTTGGGAATTTTGTCAGCACAGGGAGTGGAGGAGTTTATCCAGGAGAAGGAATTGCTGGGGGTTTGCTCTTCCAACCCTCTGGAATGCCCTGAAATCCATCCCAGCTCCTGGAAAAGGTGTTGTTTTTTTTTTTTTTTTGGGGGGGGGGGGGGGGGGGGGGCAGGGATGGGGGGAAAGAGGGATTTATTCCAGGAATGCCTGTTCCTGGGAAAGCTGAGCAGGGAAAACCAGGAGCACAGCTTGGTGCTGCTTCCTCAGTAATGTGAGAACAAATCCCAGATTTCCAGCCTGGAAATCAGGAATATGAGACAATAAATCCCAGATTTGCAGCTTGGAAATCAGGAATGTGAGAATAAATCCTGTATTTCCAGCTTGGAAATCAGGAATGTGAGAGAAGAGATCCCAGATTTCCAGCTTGGAAAAAAGGAAAGGAAAGGAAAGGAAAGGAAAGGAAAGGAAAGGAAAGGAAAGGAAAGGAAAGGAAAGGAAAGGAAAGGAAAGGAAAGGAAAGGAAAGGAAAGGAAAGGAAAGGAAAGGAAAGGAAAGGAAAGGAAAGGAAAGGAAAGGAAAGGAAAGGAAAGGAAAGGAAAGGATGGAAAAAGGAAAGGAAAGGGAAAAAAGAGGAAAGAAAAGGAAAAAAAAGGAGCAAGGAAGAAGGAAAGGAAAGGGAAAAGGAAAGAAGGGAAAAAGGAAGGGGAAAAGGAAAGGGGAAAGGAAAAAGGAAAATAAAGGGGAAAAGGCAAAGGAAAAGGAAAGAGAGAAAAGGAGAACAAAGTTAGGAGCCAGCTCGCTGCTGCCTCGTGGGAGGTGAATTCCAGGTTTGACTGAAGAATTACTGCTCCTTGCATCCCAGTGCCAGGGGATGCTGGAATTGTTGCCTTTGTTGCCAGGGGATTTCAGGGACTCTGGGTCTGTCCCTGCAGACCCTGGGGTGTTCCCAGCCCCAGCTCCTCAGGGAGCAGCCCTGGGGCTGTAAAACCCCCAGGGGAAGCTCTTGCTGCTGGTTTTTCTCTGAGGGGCTGGCCCAGGAGAGGGAGTAGCTCAAATGAGGTGGGTTTGTCACTCAGGGGCCATTGCCTCAGAATTTACTGGATGGGAGTGGTACAACTTCCTTTTGCAGGGCTCTGGCTGGGGAAAAGGAGGCAGGGCTCAGGTTTTATGGGATCTTTTTTTAAAAAAAGCCAAATAAGCTCAGCCTAGTTGAGCTGGTTTCGTTCCTTGCCCAGCTGGTGCTTCTCCCTCCTGTTGGGAGAGCCCTGCAGATCTCACTGGTCATGAAACCAGGCAGGGTTTGTGTGGAAGAGGGAAAAAAAGTGGAATAAAACATCATTCCACATTTGGCACGATGTGCTTTGGCCCATTCCTGAAATTCGGGAGATCACTTAAATCCAGGAGCCCAAAGTACCCAAAACTCCAGCAGGAAAAACTCCAATAAAACCACTTTTGCTGCTGTGGGATCTGCTGAAGCAGGAAAAATGCCAATAAAACCACTTTTGCTGCTGGGAAGAGCAGGAGTGGGAGGAATCCATGGACACCAGGTTCAGGAGTGAGTTATAAAGGAATAGCAGGGGCAGCTCTGGAGAACAGTGGGAAAACATGGCAGGAAAAGGGCAGGTCCCCGTGTTGTCTCAAAATTTTTGGAGGTGGAGTGGGTTGGATCCATGGTTGGGGTTCAAATGGAGCTGCTGATTCCCAGTTCAGAGCTGGGGAATAAAAGCAGGAGCAGGAGAGGGAGAGAATTGTGTGGGGAGCTCTGGGCTGGCCACTTCATCCCTTGGAATCTTTAATATCCAGGAATTTTTTAAAGGGATGAGTTCTTTCCATTGATATCCAGGAATTTTTTAAAGGGATGAGTTCTTTCCTTTGATATCCAGGAATTTTTAAAATTGATGAGTTCTTTCCTTTGCTTTTTCTCTTTAATGGGAAGAAAATCCAGGATGAAACAATTCTCCAGTTTGTTTCCAAAATTATTCCTCGATTAGTATTATCATTCTTAGCTTCTCTTCCCAGTCCTGTGCCCTGCTCCTGGAGCATTCCTGGGATGCAAAATGCTCTTGGAAATGGGGGGAAAAGTCACTTCATTCCTTCTCTCAAGGCTTGCTTGTTCTTCTGGAAGCTTTGGGGAAAATAATCCCTTGGAATTGTGAGGCTGGGATTGCCCAGAGAAATCTGGGATTCACCA